TTTATTGACAAATATTCACATATGCAATGCATATTTGTTTACATAGAGGGAAGACGAAAATTACTGACGATAAAAAAAAAATGGAAGCACACATAGCAAGCAGTCTAGCATGACAGAAGGAAAGGGGGTCTGGTTCTTACAGTTGAGGTCCATGTACCAGGCGTCATTGCCGTACTGGTACTTCCAGATGGTCTGACCAATGGAGCAGACCAACGAAATGGCCAAGAGACAGCCGAAAAGCGCGAGGATCTGAAAGTTGGTGATACGCTCCACGTTGGAAAGCTTCAGAGGGGGGGACGTGGAGTTCTGGAGACACAAAACATTACGGTTTCTCAGATTGAAGCTGGATTTGGGATATGACTGAAGTGGACTGAAGCAGACAAATTACCTGCATGAGTTTGGTGTCGTGTCCTGTGTAGACCACTATACCGTGGACCCACTGTGTGTTCCTGAGTTGTGCTCCTCTCAGCAAGATCTGATCAGGGCCGAGTGGTACAGTGCTAAATATGGAGCCAACACAACAATTGATGCGATTTGAACATTTTAAACAATAAATCCCACAAAAAAAAAAAAATCATAAGAGCAGGAGAATGTTATCTTAGATACAAATAACTGCACAGAGGGAGGTTTAATGAAAAAACAACAAATTTGATATTTTATAAAGTATAAATTTGTTCCTTCCTAAATATCACTATTAAACCTGCCTTAAAGTATCAGTGAGACATTTTCATTCTTCAACATTGACCAAATCCTTCCTGGTGAAATTAACTTCAAGGCAAATTTTACCTTTACACTATCACTCACACTCCGTCTGAAGATTTTATCATACCTGTGTCCATCCAGGCGAATATTGCCCACAAACTCATATAGGTGTCTGTTGGGACTCTCACATTCCATCCGTCCAGAGAGACGCATTAGACGGTCAATGTCCTTGATTTCCGCAGTGATCTGTAGACCCTGGATATAACAAAAAACACTAAGTAATAAAATTCACACTGATAAACTATCAGGTGAATTGTAAAGAATCAATACTAACAGCAGTTATGATATGGGGGGAAAAATAACCTGTCTGATCTTCAGATTTGTTTCTCCATCTAGATTTGAGGTCTCAATGTAGCACATTCCTTGA